AGTCAGAGGGAGAGGCTCTCGTTACTTAACCAGTCATGAGCGTGTGTGTGCGCCTGCCAAAGACTGCCTTGTTCCTTCTGCGAAGTTGGCCCTGGGACATTTTGGATGGTGGGATAATGAAAGTGGTGTGTGTGTGTGTGGGGGGGAAAGCCAAAAAAACAAAACAAAGCCGAGTGAGTTCTGAGCTGCCTCAGAGTGCTAAAATCTCTGTCAACAGTTCCCACAGATCTGGAACAAATGAGTCATTTTAATGTAGGAAAGAAAATCCATTTGCTAAAACCGATCTGTCTCGATGAGAGGCACACGTGCTAGTATCACAACCACTATTTTTTTTTTAAAAAAAACAACCCTTGAAAACAACCATTCCAGTTGCTGAAATCTAGATATATTTATGGCCATTACAACAGGCCACGGAAAGAGCATGAACTCCACTCAATCCTCCTTTTAATCTCCCAGTGATTAAAAAAACCTGCCGATTCATGAAACGGAAACAGAAACACGCGCAGTGGCTTTGTCACAATTAGCGGCAACGCTACAGAGTTGTCCTGAGATGCAAATATCAGGTAAAGTGTTTAAGTTGAGAGGGATTTCGCCTACGTAAGAGCACGAGGTGGAATTCTCTCACTCAACCGTCATGAAAGTACTAATTTAAGAAGAATATACCTCTGGAGATACTAAAGGCAGACAGCTGAAATGCTTCTCAAAACTAGGTCTGAGATACGAGATATTTTCCCCCCTTTAGCATTAACACATACAAGATTCAGAAGTTTGATTCTGCCTATTAAAAAAAAGACATAAGGTTATGTTTACTGAATCTCAATTAGTCTCTCTATCTTTAATTCAGAAATGCAATTCCCTTTCATTTTTTGCTCTCTGCCTTTTTAGGCAGTTTTTGTCACATTTCTTCTGCTTCGGTTTTACAAATGTCTTAGCATTTAAACGAATTACCCACCCATTGTTTTCTATATGGCAAAATCAACTTACAGGCTAACATTTTACTAAAATGGAGCTGATTTTAGATACAAAATGGGGGCTACAATAGCTTGTGGCCTTGCATATGGAAGGTTCCACATTCAGTCCCCAACATTTACAGACAACAGACTCTCAAACAGAGATGCCCCATGGAGCTTCTGACCATCAAGAGGAGGTTATATCAGGATTGATGGACAAATGTCTTATTCAGTATAAGACAGCTTTATGTCCTCATACTTATTTAAACATCATCCTTTAAAAAAAACAAACCGCGCTGCCTTTTCTTCTGTTTTTCTGAGGTGCAACATTAATGATCATTCAGTGAAATCTGACTGATTTCTTTCCCCTACAGTACACAAGGTAACTTATGATCTTTTCCATTATCCTTAGAATAGCCCAGTTCAGCAGATAATTAATGTTCCAATTTTACAGATAGCAAAGCAGGATGAATGGTTCATGGCCATTCAGTAAATCCTTGGCTGAGCCAGCATTTGAATTCCTGTCACTCCCATCAGAGCTCACCATTTCTAGTCCTTCCTCTACCTTCAGATTAAGTTTTCTTCACACGACCTATAGAATGTCTCATCTACAACTTTCTTTTCTGGGGAACTTGTAAGGCAGTAGGGTAAAAATGACAACAGGCAAAGTGTCTGCAGGTTGCAATAGGATGCAATTCCCAAGGCCAAAGCACAAAATATAACCTCCACTACCATCAGTAGAGCCCACACAGCTAATAAAAGTGTGCAAGTTTCTGACCTTCCACCAGCATCAAACTCTTCCCTACAACTGTGTTGCCCTGATATCCTTTTCTACCTCCTTATGCTTTGATGGGCTAATAATAGCTTTGTGGCGTGACAGAACTGAAACGAATGTCATTCCCATCGATATGTCCTCCAGACTTTGTGGTCTAGAAAGGTCATTTGTCCAACTGGAGCTGTTTGGGGTCCCTAAAGCTTTCCTTTTAATGAACCAGATTAAAAAGACAATGATGGCAAAAATAGACTGTAGGGGGGAAAAATCACATCATGTGAGAAGTTGGTTCGGCTGGCTACAGAACAATAAAGGCAGCAGCTGCTATGGAGTTGCCTGGTTTCCCGGGCAAACCACACAAACCCAAACGAGTTTGTTATGTTTGCCTAGCTGATAGATGACCGTGCCCTTATAATTGAAAATGTCAATAGCAATTCTTTTCATTGGCTGCCAAACTGTATTGCCTGACTCCAGGCCCACCTGAGCCCCCCTCCGCTTCCTTCCTGTTGTTTGGCACTTTGCTGGAACACTGGCAATGCAATCATAAACAGCATTGCATCAGTCCAAAGCCACTACTCTCAATGAGCTTAGAATTGAGTAACTCAACATAGGATTGCACTGTGGGCTGCCATGTATCGTGGCATTGCAAATGTATCTGGCAGGTAATGTCAGTGCTCTTGCTGAACATTTTCTCATACCACAGTAAGCTGGTTTTTCATTCAGAAATGCAGACGTTCTCTGGCCAAAACAGCCTTAGTTGTGTTCTAATTTTCTTTATCATCTAAAGATCTTATCCCCCCCCCCCGCCACTTTAGTATGAATAGCACTGCTGATCCTGGAGAGAATACTCCAGGGCAAGGAGCTTCAGTTTTGCAACCTTCCTTTACAGGACTGTGTTTGCTCCTTTCCTTCAGCATATCAACTTGTTGGTCACGATTACCCACCAGTCGGTAATTGTGAACATCGTAACCTGAAGTTTACTTCAATGATAGTAATCTAAGAGTCCAAGTGCTGATTTAATTGCACAATGAATGACTGCGATTTGGAAGCAAAATCTCACAGCAGAACTCAGAGCTGTTAAATCTGTGGGAGTTTTGCAGCAAAAGGTGAGAACGAGAGTTCTTAATTTCACAGGGTTTTTTATGGTTTGGGTAAGTATGTTGTCCTCATAACTTTGATGTCTACTCTTTTTATCTTTTCGTTATATCAAATAAATATTTATAAAAATCCATCACTGGGAGTTTTGCTGCCTACTTCCATGGGATTTCTTAGGCTAAGGTTGTATGCCTAGGTCCCAGAAAGTCCTGTTCAACTTTGTGGGGATAATTTCCTAGTAACCATGTTCAGGATCAGGTTATACATCATACCATACTGCGTACTCAGGTTGAGAAGGTAATGATTTTGGACATGCATCTAAGATGCACTGAAAACTCCTGTTTTGACAGGAACTCTCTGCCTGACCTTGGGAAAGTCACTTCCCATCTCTTGGCCTCAGTTCCCTGTCTGTAAAATCAGGATATCCATGACGCCATATGGAGTTGTTAGCCAGGACAAACAAACAAACAAACAGTAATAAAGAACTTCTTATATTAAACGTGTTCAGTGATAACTAGAAAATACATTAGCAGGAGAATGATTACTGGATTAATTAGTCTCTGAAAAACTAGGAGAGCAATAGAGAGCAAGTAAACGGAAGTAAAGGACTTTCATTCCCATTCCAATGTATGAAAACTTAATAGTACACATGACACTGCTTATACTGAGTCAGACCCTTGGTCTTTCAAGGTCAGCAGTGTCTGCTCTGACTAACGGCAGCTCTCCAGGGTCTCAAGAAGATTTCATGGACATCACCTACTACTTGATCCCTTTCACTGCAGATGCCAGGGACTGAACCTGGGACCTTCAGCATGCAAAGCCAATGTTCTACCAAGAAACCACAGCCCCTCTGCTTTATTTCATTGTGGAGGATGCATGTGCATTCAGTAACATGCAACAATTCAACCCTAAAGTGTGGGTTCTGCAGCTTCCACTTCACCGGGTCTAAGAATGATGCAGAAGTCATCTGCTATGCTGTTCCCAATTGGGGTGGGTGGGGGGAGAGACAAGCAAAAGAAAGTGAGCTGAACTTAGCGTGAAGCATGTTAGGCTATTGTTAGACATGAAACGCTGCACCGAGCAGGCTTATGGCCGGGGCTTCTCCAGCAGGGACACAAAAGCTTTGATGCAATAATTGGTTCTCACAGTCGCACGAGCACAGCAGGCAACTGGGCCAGCATAACCTTTGCTCAGATCTCCCGGAGAGCAACAGCTTGGCTGCTTCTCCCAGACGGGTGCAGCACTAGTCACCTTGGATGAAGGGGGGGGGGGGAAGTGGAGTGAAACGCAGAGGAGAAGCGAAGGAGCCCTGCAGGACTTGAGAAAAATCTTGCTGTAATCCCCTTCTCTCCCCACCCCCCATGATTTTATTGGAAATGGACAGGCCCCTCTGGCAACAGCCGCAATTACATAAGGCACAAGGGGAAAGTGGCCAAGGGAGGATACAGATCATCTGACTGGAGAAAGGGACTTTTGTCCATTGCCAGTGTTCTCACAACCCAGGCAGGGAAGTCATGCCAAGACTTTTTTATTAACCTGGGCTGCACTAGGGTTTCATTTCCCTCTCCTCTTTTTTGGGGGGTGATTCTGCTAAATTGCCCATGATCTCTCTCCAGCTGTCCTGAGGCATGGCCAGGCCTCTTCTCCAGTCCCCCTCACGTCCTTCCTGCTCCCTCACCTCTGGTGCTGCATTCAACTGCTGCAGACAGCTCCCAGCCCGAGCTCAGTCAGCTGGTTTTCGTCTCTGTAGCGTAGTGGACAAGAGGCTGGACTTAGTCCAGGGCTGAGCTGGGTTCCAAAGCCTCCCAAACTACCAGCAAGTTCCTTCCCTGTGAGTCTGGAGGACCAGGAATAACCTCCCAGACAGGCTGGCTGGCAGGAGATCCCGGCTCTCAATGCACTTTTCAGATTAGGGAAACCACCAGCAGTCAGAATGCCAGTCCATCAGCAGTTCTGCCCACTGGCGGCCAGGCAAACTTGCCTGGGAAGGGGCCCTGTTTTCTTCACTTGGACCCCCTCTGAGGAACTTTGAGCTGCAGTCTTAACTCTTTCTGGAGGAGGGGGGCCTCTCTCCCCCTGTGCTAAGCCTCCCCACCTGGGGCTGCTCGTCTAGGTCCCCCTCCCCAGCTATACCTCCCTGCAGGTCTCCTTCCTTCTATTGTCCTCCCCAGCCGGGCTGTTACCTTCTGCTGCCTCCGGGCCATGTCAGTGGGCTGCTTGGCGTTGAAGGGGTAGGCGATGCACCTCATGACGAAGACATAGAGCTGCAGTTTCTTCTTCCTCTCCTCTTCCTCCTTCTGCAGCCTCTCCAGCTCTTCCTTCTCCTTCTCGCTCACCACCGAAGGGCTGGGGCTGGAAGGCCGGACGCTGCTCCCACTCCGGCTGCTGGGCTGCAGACCCCCGCCCCCGCCCCCAGAGCTCTCGCTGGTCCGGCTGGGGGAAAGCCGTGGCCCCGAGGCCGCCGGGGCCAGCACCTCCTTGCTGCTCTCCTCTTCCACGATCTCATCCGACTCTTCCTCGCTGGACGACGGGTCCAACATGTTGGCTGCAAATCCTCCTCCGGCGCCCGCAGCTCTAAGATGGAAACGACAAAAGAATTAAGGGGAAGGCAGGTGGTGGTGGTGGTCGCGGCGGCGGCAGCACAAAGCCAAGCTTCGAGGTACTTCCAAGATGCCCTCCCTTCCCCGGCTCCTCTGCCCAAGGAAGGATGCCCGACAAAGGGGACCGCCTCCTCCTTCCTTCCTCCACCACCACCCTCCTCTGCCCGCTGAGCTCCAAGCAGCCCTGATGGATCACCAAGCCCAGCGGGGATGCGAGCTCAGGAGAGGACGCGGGCCGGAGGAAGGATGCCCAAGAACGCGAGCTGTCGATGCAGCGGCGAGCGAAAAGGAGGCACGGCCGCCTTCCCAATTGGGGCGAGAGCGGGCGAGCGCTTACGTGGGTTTACGGCTTTAACTCTCGCCTGCCCAGGGCTGCTTCTGGCGGCTGCCGCACAGCGAGAGGCGAGCGTCGGGCTCAGAGGCTGCTCTGCCAGCTCTCATATAGGAAGGCGGCCGCTGCCCTGCCAGCCAGCCAGCCAGCGTGCGACTAACGCGGCCAGGCAGACGGCGGCTCCGCCGTCCTCTCCGGCTTCGTTCCGTCCGAGCCCAGGAAGCGGCAGGGCGAGAGGAGCTCTCCAAGGTGCTAGTTTCGAGCAGCCAACTCCAGATGCATTGAAGCGGCCAGCGCAGCGGCAGCAGCAAAAACTGCCCACCCTTGTCTGCGCACGCGCCGCGCTCCTTTCTCCTCCTCTTCCTCCCCCTCCCCCATAAGCGCGAGGCACGTGACCATTTGGGAAACTGAAGCTCCACAGAGGCGGCCGCTGCCCGTACTGCGCGAGCTCTCCTCCCCAGCGCTGGCTCTTCCACCCGGCGCGGAGTTTTCCTCCGCTGATTTCTTCCCTTCCTCGTTTAACCTCGGGTCGCAGGGCGGGGCACGGGCAGGCTGGCAAAGGAAGCGCCTCAGGAAGGCGGGCGGGATGTGTACGTGGGAGGAGACGAGGGGGAAGAAAGTGAAGCTCGGCAGCCGGGGATGGGAAAGGAGAGCATGATTGCAAGGGGAGAAAAGGAGGGAAGGGGGTGTGGCAGAGGGGAAAGGGCAGGAGCCGCACAGGAGGTGACAAGAGGCTGGGAGGGAAGGCAGTCGGTGAGGACGAGGGAGGCGTATCCGAGATGGAGCCGGTGACTGGGGGGGGGATGGGAAGAAGGATGGACAGGACAGAAGAGAGCGGAGAGAAATCCCGGGGGGGGGAGGGGGTAATCTCTCTTCTGCCACGATTGGAGTAAGTACGCAAAAATAATACGTTTGTGGACCAGGTCCTGACAACAGGGACACTTTCTTCCCATGACTGATAAAGCGTCTTGGAACGGAAAAAACTGCAGCTCACTCCAGAGTAAGGCCATTTAGAACTAAGAGCTTTTGACCGCAGGACCTAAATTAGAATAAAAACGTTAATCCAGCTTTCAGTGTGAAACTGAATGAAGAATGAGTGTCGCTTGGTACCTAGAAGTGTAAACGGTCAGCCAATTCAAATCTTGCTTCATGGACAGTTAGGCAAGCGGCTATCGGGCACTATGTGAAATACAGGTATGGTTTCCAACCTCCAGGTGGGGCCTGGAGATCTCCAGGAATCACAACTGATCTCCAGACTGAGATCAGTTTCTCTGGATGACACGGCTGCTTTGGAGGATATCCTCTAAGGCAGAGGTCACCAACCTTGTTGAGCCCGTGGGCACCTTTGGAATTCTGACAAAGCATAGTGGCTGCCACAAAATGGCTTCCGTGGTTTACCTTCAGTCGCACAGTGAAGACCCTTCTGCTATGGTGACAGCTGCAGTGGGTTTTTTTTAAAAAAAACCTGTCCAAGTAATTGAAAGTCCGATGCCCAATCAGAAGCTTTACTCAGCCAAAGCGCCACATGGCCCCGCCCACTTTCTAAGAAACACTTGGTGGGCACTAGGCAAGATGTCGGCAGGCACCACAGTGGAGACCACTGCTTTAGGGCATTATACCCCACTGAGGTCCCTTCCCTCCCCAAACCCCGCCTTTCCTGGCCTCCAGTCCAGGAGTTGGCAACCCTAAATACAGGTATAATACCAGCCTATCTTGCAAGACTCTTTTAAAAGAAGCTTTACAACTATTTGAATGCCCTCGATGCTAGGTATGTTGACAGATGTGCTGAGTACTATTTATCAAATACGCTGTGCCGGCAGCAAGCTGGACTCCATATCAAACATTAGTTCCACCAGCTTTGGCCTTTCCACTTAGCCCAGAAGATAATTTCATAGCAAAAAAAGAAGAAGGGGAAGGGGGAAAAATCTGTAATATTCTAAGAGTGTGTCTTTCCAGTAAAAAGCCTGAAATAAAATTAATTCTATCCAAGCAGTTAGAATACAGTGAATCCATTATGAAAACTGATATTTGATGAAGCTTTTGTCAGATTAGCTTAATAAATGTCAGCGAAGGGGCCTAATTTGAACAGCATTAGCAGGAGGTGAAGATTTCGGGGGGGGGGGGTTGCCCCTCATCTTCATGGATGAACAGCCCAGTTAGTCACGATCTCCATACTGTCCTTCCCTCTTAAGCCCTCAGTTGCTCAAGTTCCTATTAAACTAAAAACTGCAAAAGAATCTTACAAGATTTCTAGCAGAATCCTAGGCAGGGTTACTCCAGTCCACTTCTACCTAGGATTGTGTTGATAGTTCTGAAATTATAAGGGAGTAATCCTGGACTTCACCTCTGAATGGCTTAGGATGGTGACTAAGCCCTGTGCTATTGTGTGTGTATGTGTAGAGTGCCCTTGTCATGACTGACCTACGACAACCCCATAAGGTTTTCAGGGCAAGTTGATTAAGCAGAGGTGGTTTGTCATTGACTTCTTCTGCAAATCTTCCTTGGTGGTCTCCCTTCCAAGTACAAACCCTGCTTAACTTCTGAGGTCTGATGAGGTCAGGCTATACTGTACCATTCCGCATCCCTCTGTTATCTTAATGCAATCCCAGTGTCCTCAGAAATATGCTGGCATCAAGGCACACTGCATAAACATCGGGTTGGGCAACATCAATCTAAACACTACCATAGAACACACGGAGAATGAAAAGACAACTGCCCACTCCCACCTCCCATCACACTCAACAAACCCCAGGGCAGCATATTTTTTTATTTATTTTATTTTTATTTTAATAGAATGCTTATTAGCTATTTTTCTACGTTACAGGAACTCAAGGCAGCTTACAATGTAAGCAGCAATAAAACACAGCAAAAAACATAAAATCAGTAACATAAACCAATAATTTAAATCTTCCAGGAGGCAGAAGAGCTGAAATTAATCGAATGCTGTCATGAATGAAACCATTTCCAGCTGCTTTCTTGAGGTCAAGAGTGAAGGGGCCAAGCGGACCTCCCTGGGGAGTTTGGTCCATAATCCTGGGGTTGCCACTGAAAAGCTTATTTATTTATTATATTTATTTAATATATTTATACCTCGCCCATCCTGCGAACAGACTCAGGGCAGCTAACAAGAGCGGTACACTGTACCTAATTGGCATAACCATAAACATTTAAAACTCCATAAAATACATACTATTTCATATCACATAATAGAATAACAATCTCTCTTTATATATAATTGAATAGTGGGTGCCAAAGTTCTAAAATGCCCGCCTTTAGTGTTAGGCCGGAAAAACTGCCACTCAGATAACACTGGCAGGGTTGACTGGCTGCTTTGTGCAGTCCTGCCCAGCGTTCCAATGTCATTTGCATATGGAAGCTGATTGGACCACACTCCATTCCACACCTCAAACTCCCCCCCCCCCCTGCAAGGCAGTTGGAATTTTCAGTTGGGAGAGGAGAATGATGTCAGCTGCTCCCTAGGCAGAGGCTGTGGGGGGGGGGTTGTAAAACTTAAGACAGACAGGCAGATAAAGGTTGGCTGATGGTTCCCAACTCCAGGTTGGAACTCCAGGATATAGGGTTGCCAACTCCAGGTTGGAAACTTCCAGGATATTTTAGGGATGAAGCCTGCTGAGGGTGGGATTTGAGGAGGAGGAGGAAGAGGGGGACCTCAGACAGATACAATGCCATACTGCCCACACTCCAGACAAGCTGTTGCCAGTCTCCAGGTGACAGCTGGAGAGATCTTAAAGCTTTGGTGCTACTTCAAAGTTCCCCAGGAGCCCAAAACAGAGTAGTGTTTTGGAAAATCTTGAGGAATTGTTTGGTGCATTTACGATGGGGCTCCTGGGGAACTATTGTTGCCAATCTTGGCCCAGCAGCCATCAAACCATTCTCTTCAACCCCCTGCTGTGCAGCTGACTTCCCCCTAGGGTTGCCAATCTCCAGGTGGGACCTGGAGATCTCCCACTGCTACAATTGATCTCCAGATGACAGAGATCAGTTCCCCTAGAGAAAATGACTGCTTTAGGAGGGTAGACCCTATGACATTATACCTGCTGAGTCCTTCCGCCCCCCCCCCGCCCAATGCTGCCCTCTACAGAATCCACCCCCCAAACCTCCAGGTATTTCCCTCCTTAGAGCTGGCAACCCTACATTCCCCTCAGTGCCTGTTGGGAGTGGGTGGTGGGGGAGGGGAAGGGAGTGGGCGACCGGAGGCTTCTGCCTCCTGTCTCCAGTCCTGGAGTGTGGGGGGTGGAAACGGACACGGCAGCCGGAGGCTTGCACCTCCAGTCGCCGGCCCTGGAGTGAGTGGGGTTGGGGGGGGGGAAACGGACCCTGCGGCTGGATGTCGGCCCTGGAGTGGGTGGGGGTGGGAGGGAAAAC